GATAAGTCAAACTCCCAGCATTCAGCAGTCTTAGCCTTTCGATGACACAGGAAAAAATGGACTACTACTACAATTTTTGCCATAGGAGCTAATTGAATACTAAGCTTACTAATTTTGCAATAAAGGCACATAAATATTAAAGTGTTGCAAGCTTGATGAGAGCACAGAAAAGCTTAACAAATACTCTGATGGTGCATTATATCTGAAAATAAGTATTGTAATCAAAAAAAATTTGGAGTTTTTGATTTCAGTGGAAGTGTCCATTTTGACAGTTCCCAAATCCATTTTTACCTTTTTTTTTGGGGGGGGGACAGTATGTGTGTATCCACAAACAGACTAAAGAACTCTTTACATTTAAACTTGTTTTTGTGCTATACTAGTAGTCATCTTATCAGAGTACTACAGCAAAAAAAAAAAAAAGAAAAAAAAAAAAAAAAAAAAAAAAGAAAGAAAAGAAAAAAGACCAAACAAGAACAGGTTTGAGTGTATTGAAAAATAGATTCAAATAGGTTTTTTTTTTTTTTTTTTTTTTTTTTTCCCCTTGCATGATGTCTGCATATATGTATCTTGCATAATTCTAAAATGATTAGCCGTAGAACATTGAAATTTTGTATATGGGACTACTATAACATCTCCCTTTTTTTATTGCAGTAGGCAGTACTAAAAGTATATATATATGTAATATTTTTGAAGCATAGAAGAGGAATCAGCTTGCAGTCGTTGTGGCATATGGTGAAGGCTCACAGATGAAGATAACAAAACATGAAATTGAAGAATTTCCAGTCTTTATTTTCATGCATATAAAATCATTTCCGTAGATATTTTTCCAATCATAATGAAATCCGGTGCATTTCTATGATTCATTCATAATGAAATATGATAAATTACATTGGTTTCTTAAAATTAAGATGCAGGCATTTTAGAGAAGCGAAACGGAAAGACATTAGCAATGTAGAGCTAGGTAAAAGAATGAAGTAGTTATTCCGCCAAGAGTATTTATACCAAGTCTGAGGTATAAGTAGAGCTAATATGTGATTGATTTATATTAATTTTAGTTACCCTTTTCCAGTAGTGATACATAACACAGAAAAATCTCAAATTTGGGAGAACAGATGAATTTAGGGGAAGAGCATCAAATCTGGAATCTTAATTTTAAGATCACCAATTATTTTCAAAGCAACTATCATATTTTGTTATATTTTACATATATGTATATGTAGATGGATAGATAGGTAAATAAGAAATAAGAGATTTAGAACCAACCATATTGACAAAGACATGAAAGAAATGAAATTCAAAACCAGCAAAAATCAAAATTCTCTATAAATATCTAAAAAAAAATCAACCAGTAGTTACTAAACCACAATAGATATGGGCAGCATATTGCATGGAAATAATATTATGATAATTTAGTTTTAAAATAAAAATATATATATACCCAAACCCCTTTCCTAGCCTTTATTTTTGCAATTATCGATCATAGACATTTACAAAATGTTTTAGATGACAAAAATATTCATTTTTGGGCAGTTCCAGATTTAAAAAAAAATAATAATTTTGGACAAATAACAAAATCTTAACAATTAAAGAGGTCTTCAGGTTTGAATACGTGTATTTGGGAAAGTTTGGTACTGTTTTGTTATCGAGACTGGATTTAGAAATGTATGAACGTGTATATAGGTATATGTATATGCATACATGAACACATACATGCGTACATGTGATAAAAAAGAGCGAAAGACATAGCAGTATTTTTAGATGTAGAACTTAGATCTGTATTGAAGAGGAAGAATACTGAAATGCCGATCCACGATGAATAAAAAATTTAACAGTCGAGGCCATTTTAATTATATTTTTATTTAAAATCACATTTATAGCCACAGTTCACTTGGCACTCTAATTGTGCCTATTTTCAGAATATTTACTTTTTTGAATATTATTGCAGTAGGAAGAGAATACAGCAAAATGAAACTTCATCCAGCAGCAACAGAGATACAAGCAAAGTAAGCATTTATCCAATATGGCAACTCACCAAAGATAAAACTTTTGATTTTCAAAGTTTTCAATTCTCAAGAGTTTAAGTTCAAAAATATCTATATCATCAGCATTGTGCAATCTTTGTGGCATAGATTAATCTAGAAATTACACAATCCAGAAATGTTATCGTTATTTTTAGAATAGAAAGGAAATAACCAAATTAAAAATGAGGAATTAAGAGGCTGTTATTAAAATCTATGTTCTATGTGCAATATTGCTATGTCTTTTTCTCTTTTTTGTCACAATTGAGTCCACAGGATTGGCCATCACTTTTTATGCATATCTAATGAAACAAATTTTGATGCAAGACTGTGCCATGCTTATTTTTTAATTCCTGCGTTGATAATTGCTCCTGTTGCTCCTGTCAATGATAATTGCAGTGTCAACGAAAAGAAGAAGGAAAAAAAAAATTATACTCTGAAATCATCTATGATTTAAGTGCTTCAGGCTCAATAGGATTCTATTTTCGGTCAACTACAAAATGATTCACTATTCCATTCATTAGTCTGTGTTTATAAAAAGTGTTTTGAACTACCCATATGCCCAGAGACTTCCCTTCTGCATCAAAATTAACAGAGGTCATCAAGTGTCATTTACTTTGTGCATTTTGAACTGTGGGATATCCTTCTAATCCATTTCTCATTCCTGCATTTTAATATACAACCTTATGTTTGTCCAAATGACTTTCTTTCAGTCAAAGTGTATTAAGTTACTGTTTTTCAGTGAAACAAAACTGATGCTGGTTCAGTGGATTTTAAATTTTGTATGAAAAGTTTTAATTCAAACTCTTATAATTTAATCTTATTGTATTAAGATAAAAACATAGTACTACATAGTATTCGAAGAATGAAAACGCAAGTATTCTGATATTTTCATTTAATGATATTGCATTTATTAATTTAGTTGGCACATTTTATTTGATATTTTCTGCTAATAGAGTATGTTTAAATTTTTCATTACTACGAAATAATTAACTAATTAGAATTATTAATTAAATGTTATTTTGAAATACTGTTTCTTCTTTGTTTTATGAAAATGAAAAATTAAGAATTGTATGGTCAAGTTTAAACAACTTTTTGAATTAAATAAGCAAAGAATTTAAATTTTTTTTCAGGGAAGATTATTAAATTGTAATGTAGTTAATCATATTTATGAGTTACTTTTAAAAGTGTTTGAATTAATTTTAAGGCCTTTTATAATTATTCTGAGAATGAAGTGACTATAAAAAATAAGTGAAATTAATACAGATAAGTAATATGAGTTTATGATAAATGCATGTTAAAATTTAGCGGTAATTTTTATGTTAAGTATAGATAGAGTATGCGGAGGGAATACTGGTTTCAAAAGAGAGGCCTGTTATTACCTCTGCATGGTTGACCCTTTAATCCTCCTCATATAGGAGAATGTTGAAGGCTCTCATTTTATGATTAACTGTAATTTATATATATATATTATTATTATACTTTTTTAATTACGGAATGTATTAGTGCATTTAGCAAAGACCAGTTGCCTTATGCATGGACCTGAGGCCTTCTTAAGTAATTCCCTTAGCATCCCTGAGCCACTGCTGCAGAACAGACACACTGGTTAGCTCAAATAGGTAGACCTACTGATGGAAATGTTTGTTTAGAAGTACTTCATGGTCTTCCAATTCAGTAAAATAAGGAATTGAAAATGAAAAGATCACAAGAGTGAAACATAATTTCTGCAGTATTACTCCTCCTATATAATTGATCAACATGGAAATCGGTGTCATCTATTTTTATATGTTTTAGTTAATTAGAATAAGTAATGGTTACGTAGAAGTTTTTGTGATACTCTGTGATGACGAATATTTTCCCAAGAAGACATATGATTATGTGAACTCTAAAACAAAAAGACTTTTGTACTCAAATGCTAAAAAATTTAATAGGATTCTAAAAATTATACTTTACAGTTATTTAATTAATTATGTTGATCAATATTTTATGATTAACATTTTTCTTCATTTGCTACTGCTTTAATGCTTCCTCTTTAAAAAGGCTTCTCTGTCACCAAGGCTTTTTCTTCTTAAAAGGGTGTGGGGAATTTGTAAGAAAAATTGAATATGTAAAAGATAAAATCTAAAATTAGCAGCATAAATTATTTTCCCTTTTCTGTTCTAAAAATAGTAATCTCTCTTTGATTGTGTCATTTCGAAATTAATCCATGTCATATGACTTTTACATAATTGTGATTATGTAAATGGAACTGAAACAGCCAATAAAAATTTTACAGCAGTATTAATTATAATTATACAATCAAAAATGCATTGAGAACCCAAACTAACTTGTTCTGAATTAATAATTAACCCTGAATGTAACGCACTTGCTCTCTACTCTCAGGCTTAGCTGGTCTGCCGTCTGCTGCTTCCTTCTTACTGCCAAGTTATAAAAAATGTAGTAAACCTACTGAAGTAGGGGCAAATAATGTGCCACGTTGTGGCTGCAGCATGTTTGCTGAAATAAAATAAAAGATTTTATCTGCCTGCTGCAAGTTTCCTATTCATTATGGATCAACGTTTCTACGCCAACAGAATTCCTGCTGTTTATTACTTCTAAGTTTGTTTCTATTACATACATGCATGGATGCATACATACATACATATATATGTCCATTCCTGACAACAGAACAGTACCAAAAGTTTTATATTCATTATGAAAAAAATAAAAATACAAGCATTTTCACTCTCATGCAACAAAAATTGACTATCATGTTTAATTTCAAAATTTGCGATTTTTGATGTTTTTTCAACTTGCTTGGAGAGATCGTTTCATTAATTTAGAATATTTCAGGGAAATAAGTTTATATGCAGTGCAGTAAAAACTGTGTATAATTTAAAAAATGTCTAAATCAGGTTTTTTTTAATAATATTGTGCCAGAATAATTGATTTATCAAAAAATAAATAAATAAATAAAAATGTGTAATCACAAATCTTTTTCAGATGATGAAACATGCTTGGGACAACTACGTGCAATATGCCTGGGGGCAGAACGAGCTGCGGCCCCTATCAAAGCGTGGGCATTCTGCGGGAATATTTGGTAAGACCGCTCTGGGAGCGACGATTGTCGATGGCCTCAACACTCTATATATTATGGAACTGTATGATGATTATCAGAAAGGAAGAGACTGGATTGCTGCCAACCTGAATTTCGATCAAGGGGTAAGCATAATAATTTGATACAATTTTTCCCTTCTGTAATATTTATAATATTCATGACAAATTATATGTAGCTAGTTCATAATGTTTCTAAAACATGTATGATCCATTAATTTTGATCAACCATTGTCTTAAAAGAGCAGGCGTTAAATACTCACTCTAAATCATTTAACTGATAGGGATATGATAATTTGTTCCTAAACCTGAGAAGGCTGTATAAGTTGGATGACTATCAGTTGGAGGATTTGTACATAGTGTAATTACAAAATTGTATATAATGTAAAAAGCTAATTGTTTTCAGACTTATTCTGTTACTAAAAAAATGAGCCTATTTCATAATCTTTTGTCTGTCAAATAGCTTGTTGACAGTGAACATTACTTTTTCCTTTTCTAAATTTCTTCCTCGTTCGGACATGACAATTAGCCAGAAATTAATTAATTTTCATTCACTAGTTATTATATTTAAAATTTTAACAGAAATTTTCACTCGCGTAAGAACTCCGCAACAAACGTTCCTCAAGCATTTCTACTCCCTCCCATGTCCCATAAATTACTTTTCACAATTTCGCTGCCTGAAATAATTCAAAGTATCCCCGCTGCCGATAACGGAATTTCGGACACACATCCCTTGCTCAGCCGATGCGTTAACTGCCCCCCAGATGCGCAGCCGATGCGTTAACTTTGCGAATAATTTTAGGTGTAGCAGCGCAAAGCAAATGATAGCAGTTTGGAAGGACGTATATATACGCCTGGGGCAGTTAACGCATCAGCTGAGCAAGGCGTATATATAAGCCTGCGGCAGTTAAGGGGTTAAACATTCTTACCCACTTTCTCACCATTCCATCACTTATCGTGTATTCACCATAAACTTCTGTCACTTTACGCTAAATTTCGGCTAGGTTAACATTCCTCGCGTTCAAAAATTTAATCATGGCACGAATCTCACAGTCAGCGGGAGAACTAATTGTCTTAAACATTTTGAATGTGCACAGCAAACTAAAAACACAACATAGAGCAACCAAAATGGTGACAATTGAAAGTCAGTGAACAAGAAAGACTAGTGCGCATGCGCGGGACGCCTACCACAGCGCTGCGACGGCGCTAGAATGAAACGGTACTTAGTTTCCGAATACGCTACGTATATATTCATTTTTCGATTTTTATTATTTGATTTGTTTTTGCAAAGATAGCCTTATGTTTCTTAATTTTCTAATGTTTATTTCAATTACTTTGAGTTTTATTTCATAATTCCAATTAAGATTACCACTGTTTAATTTTTATACAAATAGTTTTTAATTAACATGCATAAAAGCGAAGGTGTCGGGGGACATTTACTCAAGTATTTTATAAATTTTACTACATAAATTGCTTTTCACTCAAAACTTGTATTAGTGAAAATGTTTAATTCAGAATGAGTTCTTTGGTACTCTACTTTGGTTCTAAATTCCATCACTTCATGGAACTATTTGGCCTAACTTAATTTGCCAGTTTGGCATAACCATTCTTACTTGAGTAAAAGACGAAACACCTTCGTATTTATTAATTGTTGTTCATTGAACGGGAGTTGGTTTGTTCCCCTTGAAAAGTCAACTAATTTCTGATCAATAGCGATAATTACTTGCTTTTAATTTAATTTCTTTTTCAAAGTTTGAAATTTTGTTATTCATGATTTAATTTAAACATTTTTAATAATTTACATTCATACCCGTAAAACATTTTTAATAATTTACATTCACATTACTTTAAAACACAATTTTTGGAATTAAACTTCCTACATATGGGTTCATTCTTTTTTGATACTTGTACTAAATTTATATTAGAAGATAATATAATCTTTCTTTAGTAAATAAATTATTATTATCTTACTTTGCAACTATTGCTCAAGTATTAGAAAAACTTGTTTTCGAACTAAGTGAATTTAAGATCATACAACATTTGTAATATTATAAAAATGTTTAATGTTTTTAATTAGATATATCAGGAATTAAATAAATTTTTTTAAAATCAATCTGATAAAAATGTTTAAAAAAAACGTTTGTAAGAACTAATTCTGTTGCTTTTCAGTAATGTATTTTGTTAATTAATAAGACAGATTAAATATGAAAGAATAATATCTTATGTTTTACTGGATGGCAACAGACACTAATCAAATGGGAAACAGCTCAAAATCATATTTTAAGACTAAGTAACCCTTTGAGCTAACAGTTAACAATTTTTATAAAGGTTTAAAGTTTATCTGAGAAATTGTAAGCATACAATATAAGATACCCTTGCTGAACATAGAAGTTACATAATTAATGCATTGCATGTCCAACAAGTGACTTTCACACAGTTTACTTTCTATTGAAAATATGTGTTGCGTATAATTCAGATTAAAAAAAGTATGTCTAATTTAAATAAACCTAAATATTATTGTAACAGATTTCCAGTGCTACCTGGAATACCGGGAAAAGTCAGGGAATTTGAAAACGAACTAAAAAGTCAGGAAATGTGTATAAATATTTTAGCCAAAATCAGGAAAAGTCAAGGTATTTCATAAAGTGATCCCTAAAAAAGCAATTTTTATGGCAACGTTAGAAGTGGATCCTTTTTTTTTTTTTTTTTTTTTTTTTTTTTTTTTTGTGAATTAAATATTGTGTGAGCATCATTCCAGCAGCTAGCTTAAATTTTCATAGTGCCAATTTGATCGTCTTTCCGAAAAGCAAAGCAAGTTTCCAGCATCTTTGGCTCTCTGTAACCTCCAGAAGCCAGAAAACATGACTCGAATGTTCTTGTAAACAACAAGAAATCTGTACATGTTGAACAAAAATTCTGCTTCTTGGTTTAGAGAGCTTGTTCTTCTGTGGTCATCTCCAATTAAAAATATCTGGTGGTAAGTGAAACTTTATAAAAAAAAGAAACAAACAAAAATGACAATTTATCCCTTATTTCAATAATTTAATGGTTTTAAAACATAATTTAAATAGTGTCACTAATAATAGTTTAAAAGTAAGTAAATTTAAAGGTAAAAGCCCCTTAGTTATCTAATTTTTTAAAACAGTTATATTTTTCAAAAAAATGTCATGGGAAAAAGTGGTCCCCCCAGAATATGCTTTTCTGTAATGGAACAATAGATTATTTAAATTTTTATCTTTTTGGAACAGTTACTGCCATAAATGTTAAAAAACTGTATTATGTGAAGATATGAAGCTGTTCTCTTGAAAAGTGAAAAACTATATTGTCATTTCAGAATTCTGAAGTATCTGTGTTTGAAACAAATATACGGTTTATTGGAGGATTACTATCGTGTTATGCCATGACTGGGGATGTGGTAAGAATTATTTTTCAAGTCTGTTTTCGTTCTGTGTATGAAGGTTAAAAATTAAACTAACTTCAGTGATGAAACATTTTTGTGCAAGAAACTGACAATTAGTATCTGTTGCTGAATTTTATTTAATAGAATGTATTTCAGATTGCTCTGAGTTGTCTGGAATGTGCTTTTTTACATTCACTCATGACTAGTATAATAGGATTGTGCAATCTACAGTATTTCTCCATTAACTATACCAGCATTTTTCAAACTGTGATCCTTCTTGATTTTCAAAAATGTCCTGTTATTTATAAATAAAATCAATAAGTATTTACATCATATCATGCTGGTATCATGAAGTTAAGTACACTGGCATATCTTCCAGATATATTCTCAAAAATTAATGTACTAAATCATTGTTTTCAGCATAAGTTTTATTATTAAAATTAATTTGACTTGAATGGTTGTAATCAGCATTAAGCAAATATTTTTAACCATGGGCCCAAAAGCTGCTCTTAATGTGTATCATGCAGGCAGAGCCATTGTAAAGTAGTTTTTTTTTTTTTTTTTTTTTTTTTTTTTTTTTTTTTTTTTTTTTTTTTTAAATACAGTTTAAACTAGCATTTCATGCATTTACTTTTTATTATTTACTTTAAGTATCTCCATGGATGGTGAACACAGGGTCATGTCTGTCCTACCTGATTTTCATTCTTCAGGTCAGGCTTACTCGATTATTTTATAGATTTTTACAGAGAAAGAGTGAGTGGGATTGGATTACTGGCAAATGGCAGTTTTACCAAAAATGGGATCTGTTCCTGTTGATCTTTGCATTCACTTGCAAATATTACTCATTTGCATACTATTTCATTTTTAAATAAAAAAAATAGAGGTGAAATGTTTTTTCCCTAAGCTTCCTTTTCTGATTTCTCTTTTTATCCCAAGACTGTTCATATTTACCGTATATTTTTTAATACAAGCCAAGAATGCATTTTTCTTCAAAAATTTGTCCAAAATTCAAAACTGATGTATAAGTTGAAAAAAAAAAAAAAAATTCTTGTAACATTTAAACATGTTCTCAAGAGTGCAAAAATTTTGCGAAGCAAGTAAAATGTGTGGATTATTCTACAATCAAATCACTGTAAAGTAAAACAGCATATGCCAGAGATGACAGTTTTAGTTCTGGTAACCTTCTTTGAAGCATTATTTTTTTCATTCATTTGTAGTCTTGTATATAATCTGTGGTACCTGTAATACTCTTATCTTCTATGCCATTTTATTTTTTCTCTGAATGATGAGTAGGATGAAAAGTTCTTATACAGCAAATTGCAAACTACAGATGATCACATTTGATGAAAATTATAATAATGGTATGGCTGTTTGACATTTCTCCATAAATGAAAACAAAGTTTGAGAATGGAGAAAGTGTGGTGAAAATTTTGACAAATCAGATTTTTTGTATTGGTAGTGACGCGCAAACCAGCATTATAAATAATTTCGAAAATAAAAGAAATCGTTTTCATAAAATAAATGTCTCATTTCATTTAAAATTTCTTTCATATCCAAAGAAATAAAATGTGCTATATTTGGCAATGATCACTTGCTCATGGATAATGGAAAAATTCCGAATTTTTTCACTAGACTAGCGGATCCATGTATAATATGACCCTCGTAATGTAGCTTCGGGAAAAGATACAAAAATTCTCAGTTTATGCACGGGAATATATGGTAATACTTTAATTTCTGAATGAAAGCTGATAAAATGATAGAACTGTATTCTTCAGCAGATGCACGTGCTTTCTAACATATATAATATTATTGCGTTCTTACGGGTTCGTGGATTTGGAGTGATTAACGTTGACTCTTGATGAAGTATCAAAACAATTTATTTGTTATTACTCAGGACAGCTCCAGAAACACGTTTACAGTTGTTGAAAAACTACAACAAACATGCTGAAACTATCAGCAACACAGCCTTCAGGCTTCACGGCAAAGCACTGGAGTACAGTTCTTGGCTCTGTCGATAGCTCTCGGAGCACTCGACGACGCACTGTGATATACTGCTACTCCACATAGAGGCAGGGTTTATATAGCTTTTGGGCTGCTTTCGAGAACATTCTGGGCCAATCCATTAAGAATTCATTCCAGAATGATCTCCATCCGTCTGTGGAATATCACCATTTTTATCGGCAAATGAGCAATTTCATGTCAAATCTGGCAACCCTAAATCCACCTTGCGGGGAAGCTGTCTTACCACGGCTGGACATTTCGTAAATATATTTTCAACTTTACAGCCATGTGTATATATGCATATAAGCACTGTAACAATAAATGTGTACTAATTTTGGTTATTTGGTTAATTTCGGTTGTACAAAATTAAATAGGAAAGATATGAAAATGTAATTGCACAGGATTTCATAGTGGGTCAGATTAAGCAATTAAAAGGGCTGCATTTGGCCACAATGTTCTTTTGTGCATCCCTTAATTTTCTCTAGCCATTTGTGAAACATTTTATGAAGATTCGACCAGTGTTAAATTAGTTAGTAATTGTATTTAATTTTGTTTCACATCAACATAAGATGCACTGCTAAGTTTATCTACATATCCATGTACATTATTAGCAAATTTCAAACTATTAATTATTCTTTTGTTTTCAAAAGTATTTTGATAGATAAATTCTCTCTTTCCCTACTTTTGGTTTTCTCTGTATAAAAGTGAGAAAATTTCAAAATGAAATTTAGGAATAAATAAAAAGTGTAAACTAATTAAACATTAATACATTTTAAATTAGAATCATGTTATAGTTTAGTAATTTGAATCATTATAAAATGAATACAAGTGGTACAGTCAGGCAAAGCAACAACCTTGTGTTTAGCATAGATTTTTAACCAAAACTCTATTGATTTTGAGTGCAAACAGGTACAGTTCTCTCTTCATCAGAAGCAAAGAAATTCATGGTTAAAATCTATGCCAAACTAAAGGTTGTTGCTTTGCCTATTGGTGTGTTTTACTTTGGAATGTTTATTATCTTCTCTCTTGAATTTCAAGTCAGTTTGAAATTCTCTTGAAGTAGTGTTGTCCATGCATTGTAAAAACTACCAGAAATTGAATATTGATTTAGGGATCATATATTGAAGTAATAATTTTTTATTCATTTTTATTTCATTTAAACTGTCATACTGTACTGTAGATATTCGTAGAATTTTCCAAAGATTCAGTGATTGTTTAATCAGTTAATATTTATAATTTTGTCTTACATCAATTTATGATTAATTAATAATTTCAAATTAATTAATCATGTTGTAAAATATTGAATTAACAATTTTTCTTATACAATTTTGTTTAATTTAAATTATAATCTACTGTAGATATTCATAGAATTTTTTTATGAAGATTCAACCATTCTTTGATCAGTCAATTATATAATTTTTTCTTATATCTATATGTAATTAATTAATAATTTAATAATTATTTAATTATAATATTGATATAATAATATGAATTATAAATATACTGATTAATATTATTTAATTTAAATTTATAATCTAGATATTTGTAGAATTTTTTACGAAGATTGAATCATTGTTTGATCAGTTAATGTATAATTTTGTCTTATGTCAATATGTGATTAATTAATAATTTACTAATTAAGTAATCATTTACTCATGTAGTAATACATTGAATAATTATTTCTCATTCAGTTTTATTTCATTTAAATAATCATAAACTACTGTAGACATTCATAGAATTTGTTATGATATTGTTTAATCAATATTTCTGCATAATTATGTAAGTAAATGATTAATTCATAATTTATTAAGGTCATCCATAATATTATGCACATAAGTTGTTTGTTTTATTTTTATCATATTTTAAAGTACTTTCTTTTCTGGGATTTTCTCAGTAAAAAATGTCAAAGAATTACAAAATGAAATTAATTTAAGTATAAAACATTTTGGAATATATAATTAAATAGATAACCACAGTTACATTATAAATAGTTCAGTAACACAAATTGTGCATTATAAATTGAATTGAAGTCTTGCTTTTGAAATGGAATTGCCATGCAGGTAGATACCTCCTATTTTTTTCATATCTTAGTGTTCACAATTATAATATAGTAGTTGTATATTAATTTCAGTGTTACAGATATTTATAAATGTGTATTTCATTTGCAGATGTTTAAAGAGAAAGCTGACCAAGTGGCTCAGAAATTGCTGCCTGCCTTCAACACACCTACTGGGATACCATATGCGATAGTAAACTTGAAAAGGTAAATTATACACAACTACTTAACGTTTCTAGAAATCACTTTCATTCTAAGCATATTTGAGTTTAATAAATGGTGATTCCAATATTGCAAATAATACCAAATTTGAGCTTGTTTAATAAGATAGTTACTAACAATTAATACTTAAATTATTAACTAAAAGTTAATGTTAAAATTAAACTATTCATAAAACTTCAGAATTTAAGACATAATTTATAAAAAATTTTAATAATTACATACATGATGAAATTTTAAACTTTAAGAATTGTTCTGCTTGTATTTGTTTCAGATTGTTCATCAGCTGTCTTTCAATTGTATTTTCAATTTCATAAAACTGTTCTTAGCTTTTCTGATCTCCACCTTTAAATTCAAGAGTTCTATTTAGAGTTTGTATTGCTTTTCTTCAGTTGATTTTGGCATAATCAGTTTCTGCAGCTCCTTTAACACTTTCTGTAATATCGAAGTCAGTGTTTTCACATGTTGTCTCAATATTATCATCAGCTGTAATGTATTCTAAAAACGAATCTTGGAATCTGATGTCCAAAATATTGCAAATGGTTTGCAGTTCTATGTGGCTTCTTTTTAACAAAACCCACTTTTCTAAAGCACTTTTTAACTGCTGTGGAAATTATTTTGATTAATTGATAGATGACGTGCCGTCTGAATTTTGAGACTCTCTCCACCGGCAGCTCGATAGATGGATGTTTAGATGCTTCGCACTCTTTAGGAACACTTTGTTTCCTGTTTAAAAGATTTCAATTTTCGATTGTGAAAGCATATAGAGATTTGTTTGATAACTGAACCGCTATGTTTTAATTAATGATCTGTATATAACGTGTACATATTACAAATTACATTTTAAAAGCTATTTGAAGTTGAGTCCTCATAACCTTAGAATATTTTGAAACAGCTGGTGCATAGCAAAATTGGATTTAGCACATTGCAAGTGTGCGAAGACAGCAAAGGTGAGGCTAAATTTTCTATTTTATAAAGTAACAATGGTGGAAGAGTCTGTTGTTAAATTAAAATGGAAAGGAAAAGTTATCAGGACCACCGTGTCCAAGATTCTAAAAAGAATCCAAACGGAATTAAATGAAGAAGAAATTGATACAAGTACATTAGAAGAAAATTTAGATCAATTAATCATGAAATTGAAAACTCTGAGTGAATTGGATGCTCAGATAGAGCATGACTTGAAATCAGAAGCAGAAGAATTTGAAACAGAAATTCTATCTTATATCGAATACGAAGAGAAAATTCAGTTATGGCAGTTCAGAGGAAATAAAAAATTGAAAGAATTAAATAAAGTAACAAATTCGGATAATGAAAACTCTCTTAACGAAACTAATTCTAAATCGAAAGCAGTAAATGTACACGTCTCCCAAAATTAACCATCGCTATATTCTATGGAGATTATACCCAGTGGACAAGTTTTGGGAACTCTTTCAAAGTAGCAATCCATAATAATGAATCTTTAACAAAAATTGAAAATTTTCATTATTTAAAATCGTACTTATGCGGCAACGCTGCAAACTCAATAGAATGTTTTTGTGTTTTGGAACCAAATTATGATGAAGATATCGAAATACTTAAAAACAGGTTTGGCAGGAAAGATATCATTATAAACTCACACATGCAAAAACTCCTGAATCTTACCCCAGTAACAAATCCAGTGACACTTTAAAACTTCGCAAACTTTGTGACAACTCAAATACGCAGCTTGGAATCATTAGAAGTCACACCGGATAAATACAGTTATATGTTAATTCCGGCCATAATGAAAACTCTGCCGTCTGATATAAACTTAGAATTCAGTCCTAAAATGGATTCATTATCATTTTTTGATGTGGATAAGTTATTGCAGTTTGTTCGATTAGAACTGGAAAGAGAGAAACTATTTTTTGCTTTCTGCTCATAAATCAGAAAACACTTTCTGTGTTTACAAAAAGAAGGGAGGGAAGGGGAGTATCACCCATTCCACTTACCAGCTCTTGGCGCCAGTTAAAGAAAACAAAACTAATTGGTGTCTGTTTTGTAATACATCCAAACATGTTACTGAAGACTGTGAATCATTGACAGTTGATGAGAAGAGAAATTTATTGCGTAAGCAAGCAAGGTGTTTTGTATGTCTTAAATCGAATCACTATGCAGGAATGCAAAAGCGATGTCGTCTGGTCCAAGGTCGACATAACCGTTCAATATGCTTTCGAGCTGAGAAAGAATTAAAAGGAAAAAATAAAAGTATAGAAGATTTGCATGTTCTTTCAGCATTCTCTCACAAAACTATTTCGCTTCAAACGTGTTGCATAACATTTCGAATACAGTCAGATTTAATTAGAGCTCTACTGGATTCAGGTAGTATGCATTCCTTTCTGAGAAAAAAAAACTTAGATAAATTGAAGCTTCCTATTATTCGAACAGAGGCTCTTTCAATATTTATGTTTGGAAATAAAACACCCATTAGAAAAACATTTGGCATTGTTAAGATAAAATTACAGAACAAGGAAACACCGAATTTGAAGCCCTCGTGACTAAACAAATTTCAAGTCTGATTTAAAACTTCCTAATCTGGATAGACACATTTTAGGCAAACAGTTAGAAGGTTTACAACTCACAGACTCTTGGGATTGCAAATAAAAAATTACTCTTTTGATAGGAGCTGAATATTATTATGATATAGTGACTGGGAAACTTAAGCGTTTAGATAACCTTAAGCATTAGATAGATTATTTAGTAGCTATCGAAATCTTATTTAATTGGTCTCTGCTAGGTTACACTAAAGGTACAACATATACTTCCACAGCCTTTAATATGGTAGTTGAAAAAGATATAATACCTAATCAGATAAAGAAATTTTGGGAGCTTGAAAGTTTATGTATAAAACCTGAAAATTAATCATCTGACCCATTAGACGCTAATATAATGGAAAAATTCGAATCTGAAATTTTATACAAAAATTCTCGTTAGACTGCCATGGAAGTCTGATAGAAAATTTGAGTTACATGATAATAAAGCGATTGCACTGGAACGATTTGAGAAACTTATAAAGCGATTTCAAAATAACCCCGAACTTTTTTATTTGTACCAAACAGTTCTACAAGATTATTTACAACAAAACATCATTGAACTAGTTCCAGATACTGTTAGTAGTGAATCTCAAATCACATTTTATTTGCCTCACAGAGAAATCGTTCTTGGTGATCAAAGTACTAGTAAACTATGTATCGTATTCGACGCATCCTCATACGGACCTGGGGAAATTTCTTTGAACGACTGCTTACGTATTGGTACAAATTTGTATCCTGACATTTTTTAACTTCTATTAGCTTTCAGGCTTCATCCTGTAGCATTCACAAGTGACATAAAGCAGGCTGTTCTTCAGATAGAAGTGGATGAGAAAAACAGAGGTGTAATGCGTTTTCTGTTTACTAAAAACCCATTTGGTGATCTACAAAATTTCACAACTTATCAGTTCACTCATGTGGTATTTGGCATAAATAGCAGTCCGTTTTTACTGACTGCAACCATTAAACACCATTTGAAACAATGCGATAAAACCTACCCTGCCACTTGCGAATTTCTAAATAATCAAATTTATGTAGATGACATCATTGGAGGTCACCAAAATGTTGAACTTGCTTTCAATACCAGTTTAGAATGTGTCAGCATTTTTAGAGATGCTGGTATGATTTTAAATGGTACACCAATTTTCAAGAACTGCACTAATTATGGATTAAAGAAGGTATTGAATTCGAGGAATCTAGTCATATTTCGGAAGCTAGAAATCCTCCACTGAAAGTGTTAGGAGTCGCTTGGGACAACTAAAGTGACATAATTTACTTTGATGTAAAAAATTTGATAATGTTTCTATCAAAACAAGGTAATACTAAAAGTTTTGTCTTACAAGCAATAGGAAGAATTTTCGATCCTGTAGGTCTATTATTTGATTCTAAGTACAAATGGTGTATTATCACCATTTGTACTTAGAATCAAAATCATATTGCAACAAATTTGGGCATTTGCTTTAGATGATGAACTACCAGAAAATTTATGTTCTGTATGGAAAAAATGGTGCAAAGAAGTTTTCAAATTTGGACGACATCGGTATTCCCCGACATTATTTTTCTGCAATCGGTAATAGTGATGTGGAAAGAATTGAGCTGCACTGTTTTCCTGATGCTAGCAAAAAGGCGTAGGGTACAGTAGCATATCTGTGTGTAATTTCTAGCAATGAACAAATATTTACGGTTTTTATTGCTTCAAAGACTAGAGTAGCGCCTTTAAAATCGCTTACCTTACCTAGGTTGGAACTAATGGGAGCTCTTGTCTCAGCTAAATTAGGCACTAGCATCATTAAAGTTTTGAAGTTACAACTTTCTTATTTTTTCTGGACTGATTCGAAAATCTCACTTTTATGGATAAAAGACTGTGTGAAGAAATTTAAGCTTTTTGTTAAAAATCATATTCAAGAAATACAAAATTTAACATCCCCCAAAAATTGGCGTTATTGCCCTGATAAATGTAATCCCTCTGATTTTGCTTTGAAAGGAGCTAAACTTCATGAGTTGAAAAACTATCTGGTTTCAAGAACCAGAATGGCTTAGGATGTCATCTGAAATGTGGCCTCGACAGAATGAAGAGAAACCTTTTATTGAAGAAGAATTAGAATACCTCAGGAACATTAATGATATTTATGAATTTGTGTGCACGGCAGTTGAAGAAAGAATAGTAGACATCTCAAAATATAGTAATTTAAGAAAATTGTTGAGAATAACCGGTTGGATGATGCAATTCAATGAGAAAATTTGGAAAATAAACTATTTGACAGGTCCATTAACAACTGAAGAAATAGTAGATGCCGAAAATTATTGGATTCGATCTGAATAAGAATGTTTTTATCTTAAGGAAATCGAGTCTCTGAAGAAAGTGAATAAAGTCGAAAAGAAATCATCTTTATATCTTTTTAATCCATTTTTAGACCAGAACGGGATACTGAGAGCAAG